TTTATTTATTAGATATAAATTTTAAAATCAACTTATATTGTAAAAATGACCTAGGTAGCTATAAGGAATAACTGATAATTTTATTTTTAATTAAATAGATAAAATTATTTAAATTATAAATAACACAATAATTAATTGTTAATTACTTCTTTTGATTATTTTAATTGTCTTAATCTCTTATCTTTTTAAAAATTAATTTGATATTTATGAAAAAAGGAGCAAAGAGAAGAGAATATCAACTTTTACTTATCATTACTTAACTACTAAACTGAATAAGAGATTAACCAAGCTTTCTTTCGAAACATCCTAACATCGAAAAGCCCCTCCTCACGCGTAAAAGGACCTGGTCTTACTATAATATGTGGAATGGTCAGTATGCCTAAATTATTTCCCCTTTGTATTTGAAGGGAGCATTAACAAACAATAATATTTTGCCTTAAGTAGGCCACTCATCTTTTTAAATGGTTTTAACTGGATCCTAATTTTACTCTCATTTTCCGTGGAACAAAGAAAATGATAGCGAAACCAATGTATTCTGTTTCTAGTTATAACTATTAAGTAATACCTAAATTTTGTCATCAGCTAACAATGTCTGCACACATTCCCTTTCCATATGTAAAGTACTGGTAAAAAGGATTTTAATTTCTCCATGTTGGGGTATTGGGTTGACAGAAACTTGAATGACACTCAATATTTAAGTGTTTGAGACTCAATACATATAGGTTTGAGATGTCACCTTAAATTTATTATGTAGTTTTCAATCTTTAACTTTTTTTAGTAAAAAAATAGAAAGTTGGGATACATAAGTGCCATGTAAATAGATATCTATATATATTTATAACTTAGTCAAAAGACAGATCATCTACTATTGTCAGTTTATCACACTTAGAAATTTACATAGAACTTTACTAACATTTCCACTTAATCAAACTTTCATGATGGTATTTTCTTGAACGATGATGTCTGAATTTAACGGAAATAACCATTTTAATGAGGTAGGGAAGTCAATGACATCAATTTAAACATGCTATATATAAAAATCATTTACGTAATTTACCCTTTAGAAAATGATAACTAAACTTCATGAAGACTTTTGATGACGATGCAATTAAGGCAATGTTGAAGCTGCTAGAGGAGTTTTATTGCTTTCATTAAATTGATACAATTTTAGGTTAAAATGACATTTTTTTTGTGACGGGCAGATGTTTAAATTTGCATCTATAGGGGGTAGGAAAGTGGTTGAATAGTAATTTCACAACTTATTTTTCTAGATATTTAATTTATAATTTGTCTAACTTGTGCTCTAACTATATGTTTGGGTTGAGGGGGGAGAGGGAAAGATTTTTTAATCAATTAAATTTTATTATTTTAAAACATTATAATTTGATTGGTTAAAAAACTTTTTTCTCCCCTCCCCAACCTAAACACACCATAAGGCTATAGATTAAGGGTATGTTTAGTACACATTTTTATCATTAATTTATATGAAAATAATGAAAGTAAACTTTTTTTTAACACTAATACAACGTAGAGCATTTTAATCAGACAGTTCATAAAATTAAAATTAATTTTTAATTTTTCTATACATATTAATGGTAAAAAAGTACAATAAATATGCTTAGATTAAAAAATTCTTTTATTTATTTATATTTGATAATATGAATATTTAAACTTTTTGTTTAATCAATTTTACTAATACTTATAAACTATTTTGTTCACAAATATCGAGCAAATGTGCTTGAAGGTGACGGGCATAATTTGTTAGAGTTGCTGGCAATCAAATAGTGATGGAGGGATTCAAATATGCCTTTCTAGTATGACTGTCATACCACTCGGCAAGTTTCTCATTTGGGCCGGGTGGGCGCATTTAGAAGACCTTGTAGTTCTAAAACTTGAATTTCCTTTATATTTTCAGACTTTAAAAAATAACCAAATCCATATTGATGGACCCTCTCTTATGTTAAACCATATTAATTGTAAGGGAAAAGCCAAAACCAACATTTTATTAGGTGTAGTGCATATTAGCGTGTCCTATATTGACATT